CGTGCATTGCTAACAGCGGAGCTATCTCAGCCGAGAGGCTGCTTGTTTTAATGATAATGTTCTCTTGCTGTCTCTAGAATGTTTGCATGAGAAATGGACAGGAAAAGAAAAAGTACATTCATCTGGTGTCGAAGCAGAAGAAACGAAAAAGAAAAAAAAGAAAAAGAAGCGTAGTAGCAAGAAAGGAGACAGTGCTGCACATGTTGAACTTTGAACCTTATATTGCGATAGATTATTCAGACATTTCTACATGCATGTGGTAAAGATTGGGAGTGAAACCTAGTACTGCTGCTTCTCTGCAGCAAGAGATATCAGTCATACATACTCATTTTTATATTTTGTTTATATTTGTTGTTCTGTGTGTGTATTGTCCATCATTTGAATTTTTAATATACGTGTATTTTTAATTGAATTTATGGCTTTTCACAGAACTTTGCATCACAAAATTTGAAATTTACGTGGTTATGAAAAAGTTCATACTCACTTGGATTCTCCATCTGGATTATTCCGGTTGTGTTTTCTTCGTCAACTTGCCATTGACCAAGAATGAGATTTAATTAATCTAATCTTGTACAAGACAGCTTTGAATATGCAAATTACTAGTAATTTAAAATATGCAAATTACCAGTGATTTGAATATGCAAATGACTAGTCTTCAAATATGCAAATTACAATATTTCAGGAGAGGAGATTGGGATGATTGATATGTGATAAGTACAGGCTGACTGAATGCTCTGGTTTGTCGCTATGGTACATGTCTGATGAGTTATTATTTTTCCAGATTAAAATATTGTCACTTTAATTTTAGTGAAGTATTACAGTACAATTAATGATGTTTGTATTTTTATAAATATTTTCACAGTACACTACTTAAAAATTTCAGGTAACATTAAAAAGATGAATAAAGTCATCAAAATAGTAGGTCTTTGTTTCTCTATTTTCCATGGTAAAAAAACAATGAGCAAAGTGAACATCAAATTTGCTCTTCTGTAGCTGCATTTGACTCAAGTCATACTGCTATACTGTTCTATTTCTGATTTTTAACAGATTTTAATTTGTATGATTTTTGTACTGTAATCCAATCAGAAGCCCCCAGGCAGGCAGGATGATGAAATATAAAAAACAGTGCGCGAAGC